TTTCCTGATTGGTTGCTGGAACAAAGCATTTCTTGTGCTTCCTGGAATCCCACACACTCACTTTACTCCAGACACGACCCTGTGGCCTGTGGTTGTGCGCTCGTATGACAGTCAAATTCCTTATAGCTATTCTTCACTTCTTCCGCATGGAACTATACTCAACACTCTGGCCTCCCCGTGTCATCTCTTCTATGAAGAAACCGGTCTGAAGATCGCAGCTGCTAGGGCTTTCTCCAGTAACTTAATCCCCCCTGCGATAGGATCTTCACGAGGAACAAAAGAGGCGACACGCAGCCTAGCCGAGTGCCAAATATGTTCCGGTAGGAAATAAACATTTCGATCCTATTCTTTCAGTCACCCTCCTACAATCCACAACTTTGAAACTAGTTTAGAAGTGCAGCAGATTGCTTTAAAAAAGCCCTGTGGTATTACTGGAGGTTAGTGTCCCGGAGTCGATAGCACATTGTCTGTGAAAGCAAAAAGGCGAGTCTCGGGAAGAAAGTGAAAAGAAATAGACGGGGTTTGAAGTGACACTCAGACTGTAGTCAACCATTTGGAGTCATGTATTGAAGGCGAGGTACTAACAACCACAGCAAGAAATATATGGAGTCATTCATCGGATCTGGAGTGAGGTTGCGGGCAGAGCACCATTGCCACAAAAAAACTGGAGGACCAAATCCTGGACGTAAATCACCGAACATTTGGTAGCAATGCAGCAAAATGATGACAAGCGTCAAGTCACGGCTCATCTGACGAGATCCGTCCACACAGTCCAGGTTGATTAGGTCAAAATTCTTTCAAGAGTTGAGAGCCGCGAGTTGACTGAGTCATAACTGACAGTCTCCCAGTGTATCAATAAGTGTACTGACCACCGCCACCGCCCTCGCCCCTGCCTCCCCAACCCGTCTTCAGTTTCTTTAATTAGTTGGGCGAAAGCAAGCAGCCACTCGTAAAGCATACATAGGAACCTAATATGTAACGCCTGTGCCAGTGAGCAGCCAGATGGCTGAGCAAGCATCACACCAAGATCAGGTACGGTAACGATCCGCATGCCAGCCCTTCAGCAATTAGCGCACTCGACTTGTACTTGCTTGTACTTGTTACGGCGGTGATCATGCCTGATCTAGCCGGCCTCAATAATGTCGCGGACGGTACCCCTCCATGCGTGAAGATTGGCGGCGGTGGATCTGAAGAGCACCACGTAGTCTCTTCTCCAGCACCGGAGACTGAATACCGAAGTTCCAAGAACCACTTCCATGTTCTGGCGGACTAAGCCGAGCCAGGTTTTGAGTTTACCCCTTCTTCGACATTTCCAATTAGGGAACGGTTTGAAGTCGAGGGCAGTAGCACTGAGCTCCTGAGGTTGACGACGAAGAACGTGTCCAAACCACCTCAGTCGTCTCTCCTGAATGGCCTGGGATATCCTTGTGATTTTGTTGCAGCGAGTGCGGGCCGTGTAATTTGAGACGAGGTCCGTGTACTTCACTCGAAGGATGGTTCTCAAGCAGTAGGCATCACAGCCTTCCAGCTTCCGTTCATCTTCCACGCGCATAGCCCAACATTCGCATCCGTGTAGAAGAATGGAGCGCCCAGCTTCACGGTGCACGCGGACCTTTATGGAGATAAACATGTTGCGTTGGTCCCATAGGCACTTCCGAAGGCTGGAGAAAACGCTTCATGCTGCCTCAATTCGGAAAACAATGTCATCTTTACTCTAGCCATTTGATAGCAACTCGCTCCGAGGTATTTGAAACTGTCTACTTCTTTAATTTGGCGGTCACTAATCTCGAGAGCTGCCCTCTTTTGCGCAGGAAAACACTTTGGTCTTCCCAGCGTTTATGGACAAACCGACCAATTGCGCGACCTCGTTCAGCCGTGACACCATACACTGTAGATCGCCAACGCTTGAAGCTAGTAAAGAGATATCATCGGCATAATGGAGGTCAGTCAACCGGCATCCGGGTGCAAGCTCAGTGCCATCATTTTCCTGTAGGCCTCCCTGAGAACCCAGTCAATCGTGTAGTTAAAAAGCATGGACGACGTGACAGAGCCTTTTCGAACGCCAGACCGAATAGCGATGTGGTTGTGAGAGGTTGATGTGGACTAGAACCCGCGCAGTGGTGGAGCGGCAGTAAGCCTTGAACCTGACGATTATTTTTGGTGGAAAACCATCAAATGCCATTATCCGCCATAGGGACTCTCGATGGACGGAGTCGAACGCAGCGGCAAAATCAACAATGCAGATGGCGATTGGTTGATGGTAGTTGTGGCGGAATTCAAGGATCCGTCTCAGTGTGAATATATAATCAACACATCTACGTCCAGCACGAAATCCGACCTGGTTGGGTCGCGTCCTGGAGTCGCGCACAGACTGGAACCGCCTGAGGAGAAAAATGGCGAAGATCTTTGAAGTAATGTTAATGAGGCTTATGCCGCGGTAGTTCTCACATCTTGTCCTATCCCCCTTCTTGTGGACAGGTGCAAGGATGCCTTAGCCCCAGTCATCGGAAACGGCCTCTTCTCGCCAAGCCTGCACCAACACCTCATGAAGCCGAGGAGCCAGGATGTCGACACAAGATTTGTAGATTTCTGTCGAAATACCGTCCTCTCCGCAAGCCTTGTTGTTGTGCAGCCTCTGCATTGCATCGGCAACTTCGTCTTTGGAAGGGCGGTCATACGACACTGCGTAGGCTGGCGACGGTTGAAATTCCGCTGTGGAGTAGAGGGTGGCTGTGATAGGTTGCTCATTAAAATTGAGTAGGTGCTCAAAGAGTTTGTGCCACCAGAATCACAGAGTGTCGGGGCTTACCACTAACTTGGCGGATGATTTGACACAATTTTCGAGGGTCCTCAACATTTGATGTCTGCTCCATAAAAGTCGCTGTTTCAGACCAATACTTTTGCCGGTCATCTCTAGTCGACTTTGCTGTCAGCCTTCAGAGTTGGCGGAAGGAAGCATCGTTGCAGTACCTGGCTCGAGTCGTCTCGGCCGACAGCTAGAGGCTTCTTTCACTGATTCAGTAACTGCGGTGGTGCTGACTGAATCCGAAAATAATCTCAGCTGCCCCATAAACGGATGTCTTCAGTGATGACCACTTGCTACTGCCTTCGCTGTCGGCTTGGGTCGTAAGACGGGACCGGAGTTCTGTGCTTATGGCATCGGTAGTGCTGAGTTGCCGGTGCTATTCGACATCTGGGCACGTCTCGCACGTGGCATTTTGGACGCAGATGAGATGTGAACCTTCAGTCGCATAAGAACAAGAGCATGGTCAGACCCGTCTGATGGTTGAATAAATGCAACAAAGTGGTCAGCAGCGAATGCAAAATAAAGTTTGATGAAGAGTTCTTGAATATGCAATCACCGTCAAGAAGAGATGAAACAGTTATTTTGAGAAATTTAACCTTTCTTTCTTTATAAAAAATAAGACTGCTTGTGCAAAATAGGGGTCGTTAGTTAAACAAGTGCAACCATCTTTGCTACAATACGGAATATAAGTCAGAAGTCCGCATTATTCGGCAAAGGTGATGTACCGCATCTTGTAGTTCGGCAAAAGGTCTTTCGAAATTGTTATGGGTTGGTCCATTACTTCGGACTTCTTTTGTCCCTTCACGTCCAGGTGAATCTGAAAGTTAGAGAAAAAGCCCTTTTGAGCAGCATTTCACACGACATAATTTTCTTTCGAGTTGTGCAAAAAAACCAACACAAGTTGGATTTGGTGTTTGCGCGAAAAGCTCTTATACTTACATAAAAACAAAATTATTTCGATATACACTGTAGTAGCGCTACCGCATGGGATCTCTTAACCATAGTTTGAAATGTGTTTTAGTTTACAAAAATAAATACCTAAGTGGGGTTACAACAATAGTAATTAAGACACGATATTTCCGTAACAAAAAAG